CCTCTGTCTCTCGTTCTCTCCATCTCACCAGCCTTCTCCTGGCACCGAATCGTCTCTCGCTCCCTCCTGGTGGCCTTCGTGTTGTTTGCCGCTGAGACTCTCCCAAAGTTCGACACTCTCCTCTCCCTGATCGGAGGCAGCACAATCACGATGATGGCCTTTGTCTGTCCGCCATTGTTCTACCTCAAGCTCTGCTCTATGAAGGGACATTGGCCGCAGATGTGAGTATATCGAGGGGTGAGGGTGGGGGTGGGGGTGGGGGGTGCAGGGGGGTGTGCACATAATTTAAAGAATTACTGCTTCCCTGCCTTGATTTTGGAATATTGTCGCAGTCAGATTCACCCCTAGAGTGTTGTTGATGTTGGCCTTATAAATTTGAATACACCTTCATGAAATTCCCAATGAGCAATAAACAGTGTGCACAACCATTCTAAACTGTTGCATTATTACATAAATATCCTGTTCACCCCTTTGGGGCCACTTTCATTCGCAGCCGTTAACACTGAGTAACAATGTAAGCCTACAGTTAACATGGTAGAGTCTACCTCAAAAAGGTAAAAGGGGAATAACTCTTGATAATCTCATAGCTGCTTTGAGTGCTTTTTCCCCTTTACCGTTTACCGAGTATCCAGGTCCTTCTGTTGGGATATTGTATCCCTCTCCCTTCCAGCCGGTTTGGTCTAAACAGGGAAAGTCCAAGCCCACTTTCTTAATGATCTGAATTGTGTCAGTGGAGGCGTGAAACGTCTATATATTCATTTTAAAAGAATCTTCGAAGCCTTTGAATGGCCGAAGTGTTGAATGGGCGTAAACTAAAAAAAATATGAATCAAAAGTAAACCACCCTTTTCCCCCCCTTCTTCTTTACAGAGTTGTCCCCCTCCACCAGAAAGTGCTTCTACTGGAGATTCTGATCGTGGGCAGTGTGGTGGGCCTGATGTCCACCTTCTCCTCCCTCCAGTCTATGGCTAGTCCTGACTCCTTCACTGTGCCCTGCTACATCAACATGACTGCCGCCTGTGGGTGACCTCTGACCTCTGTTTCATCAACATGACTGCCGTCCGTGGGTGACCTCTCACCTTCGCTACATCAACATGACTGCCCCTTGTGGGTGACCCCTGCTACCAGAGATCAGTCCAGTTTAGAGTATGTCTCCTTATGCGCGACGCAGGTCGCGTGGCGCACAACAATCGCTAGCGACGAGTAGTGGGGTGTGTACCGTTAAGCGAAACAACATCACATGGAGTGTCGAACAGCACTCCTTGGCTAGGTATTTTGACAGATGATAAAGCTCGAAACCAGTCACACCCCCAGCCTGTCGCGTGTGATGAGGTCTCGATTGCTACAAGGACCGATCGCCGGTGACAGTCGCACGCGGCTAGAAGTGGTGTCGAGTGTAAGAAGACGGGTTCTTAAAATCTTACTCGATCGTTTTTGGAGCGGCAAGGATCGTGCGCGACGCGACATTGAGTCGAACATAAGGAGACGCAAGTTCACACTGAGCCCGGCCAGTTGCTGGCACAGCCGTCAACAACTGGCTGTAATCTGTCGTCACGCCTTTATCCTCTTTCCTGCAATGAAAGCTGGTGATACACGTTCAGACTGCCGCCAGCAAACGCCATCCGTCTGCCAGCAATTTGGTTTGCCGTGTGCACACCCAAAAAATGTCTGGATGGTCCAAAGAAAGTAATTTCCCACTATACTAAGAGAGTAAATGTCCTTGATTCGCTGTCAATTCCCGTCAAAATGGACTAGAAGCTTATCATTGCTGTCCAAGGCAGATCGGTGATATACAACAAAGAGAACAAAAAACTATTACAACTTAGATAGATCTATCATTTCTGGGCATCTTCCATTACTAACGGAATCAAAAGATGATATTCCCCATGCACGCTACGATTGCAATAAATTGGGGGAACACCATCTTTTTGAGAATACTGTTTCAATTTCAATAATCGTTTTTGTAACCCCCCCCCAGCAGAGTAATTCGTTTCTTCCTTCTGGAATGAGCCATGTATTTTTCCCTCCAAGTGTGACATCACTTTGCCGGACAGTAACTGCCGGCTCTACCGTAAACACTGCATGGCAGGGAGTTGTCCACGGCAGCTGGCTGACGGCAACTGGCTGACGGCGACTGGCTGACAGCGACTGGCTGACGGCGACTTGCCGGGTTTTAAAGCGTGACCTTAGCCTGAGCCTACCCCAGCATTAAAGATCTGTGACTAGCAGCGCAGCTCCTCCAATTTCCAAATTTCAGTACGCCATGTTCTTTCTTCGATAAGAACAGGGACAATTTCCCGTTTTCATGTCGAATTTCTTGATCTAACGTTTGAAAATGCAATTGTTTTTTTGGCTTCAGTTCTTTTTGTTTTGTATATATACAGAGTGATTCCAAAAGAATGTGAGTAATTAACTTTATTCATCATATAAAACACAAATTTGTTAAATAAGATATCCATAATGAAAAAGTACAGGTTGCATACATATCTCTTATCAAAGGTCAAACATTGCATATTTCTGTTTCTGGGCCGAGTCAGGCGTGGAGGAATTAGCAATTTTCTTTGATAGGCAAAATTTGGACAACAACAAAATAAAGTGAATCATTTTTAATTTCCTGTAAGTTACACCGCTCACAAAAGGATTAATGTATTAATTTTTACCAATAAAGATTGTCGTGTGATGGAAGGGTTTGAGTTTTTAACAAGGCTATGGCTCTTCTGTTCCAATACCGTGGGAGGCTGATACTCAGCTGTTTCTTGAAACGGAATTGTAAGAGATAATAAATTATAGTTGCTACCGACTTCTTCCTCGGTGTTCTGAACAGGATGATCATCAAGCTACTTTTTACTTCACAAAGAAATAATGTAGTGCTCCCAACACTTTGAGAAAAACCAGGCATATCTAAACCCTCAGGGAAAATAATAGGCTTTTAACTTCTGAAAAAGAATGAACCGATTTCATTACGCAATATTTCAATTAGGAAAAGCAATAGAAAACTGGAGCTGAGTCACAAGTATTGTGTTCACAATCAAAGACAGTGTCCAATGTGGCCACCATTAGCAGCTAGGGCAGCAACAATGTGATAAGAGAACTCATCTCCGATGTCGTGTTTCAGCTTATCACCGTCCACTGCGTTGACAGCTGTTGTTATTTGATGTTATAGGTAATCGAGGATATTTTTATTTTTATGTTTGTTTTTTAGTAAGAGTTTTACGGCACTTGTAACAAAATACAGTCATATAAGTGCCGAAAATTAGAAGTGTTATAAGAGAGTAACAAACACAAAAAAGAAGGAGAGTATATTATTATAAGGACTAAAGGAAAGAAGGAAAAAACCACGCCAGAGCGCCTGCCAACCACCCGCTCATAGAAGATAGTGGGTAGCAAAGGAAAATAAATGCGATCTTTTACGCATTTATTATCCTTAGAAGAAAAACTCAAACGCAGTGATCTCTGGGGATCTTGCAAGTCAAGCACAGAGAACAAGGTCTTGAATCCCTTTTCTGTCCAATCCGTATCTGGCGCACTGCTATTCAAAAGTTAGATAACTCCACTTTCAAAATACAATCTCTGACTCATTCCATCACAATGCTTGAGAACTGAACAACTCGTCATATAATCGGCTCATTCCTTTTTAATCACCCTGTAAATTTATTTTTTGTGGGGGGAGGGGAGGGCGTGGTCTTTGCTCTCTTACCATTTGAAGAACGTAAGTATAAAAAGAAACCAACAACTCAGGGACGTGATGACAGTAATTAATTAAAGAGAAGGATAGAGTGACGAAAACAGCATATGGGTAGTGCATAGTCACGTCGCATTAATAATGAACAGTGTTTCTGCATGCCCCTCCCGTCATGTCAGCTTGTATTCTCACTTATTATGCTGGTAGACCCCTTTCCCCCCCTATACACTCACAATAAAAATCTAGGAGTCATTCAGGACATGAATTATTCAATTTGATGTTAATTGTCTGTATTGAAATTGGTCTATCTCAAATTTTCGTCTGAATCTAGTGTTTTGCGTACGGCTGCACTAAACACAATACAAAGTTGTCGAAACCTGGGTCAGCCAGTGGTCTGATCGATAACCAGCGCATTGACTAATAGTAAGAGTATTCCAAGGTTTATGTACTCAGACTACTTCTGAACTAAGGCCAGCCGCTTCTCTTCAAAGTCTCCACGCTCAGATGGGTTGAGGGTTATACATTATTCTCTTAAGTCTACGGCACACATGCAAAATACAGCGTTAAAGATACATACGTACGGCATTTTTTGTTAATGTAGTTGTTGTTGTAGTTGTTATCGTTGTTGTTATTGTTGTTGTTGTTATTGTTGTTGTTGTTGTTGTTTTTGTGGTTGGCTTCAAAATAAGCCATACTTTTATTTCATGAGATGTTTTTAACTAAAGTGCACATTTTGAAAAATCAATACTCAAATGTTCATATAATGCTTTTCGATATACACCATTGTGATACAGATATAACATTGTTCTATACGCAATTCCGCTTTCACTCCTTTCAGTAAAATTTACGACAGTATTAACGTGTGATGAACGTCAGGAGTGTTACTGTTATGTTCTATAACATGCATTAGCACTGATGTTAATTATCTTCATGAGGAACGAGTATGCTGTAAAATGAGCATATTATTATTTTATGTTCTTTCCTGATCAGACATGTGTGCTGTAAAATGTTCTTTAGGTACCTTCTATTTCTAAAGATAATCCTTCAAATATTCTACACCTTCACAAAAGTTGGTAAATTTTGGTATCTTTTATGTAAGAAAATGTTCTTTAAAAAAGGCATAAATAATGATAAGTTACAATAGTCACCAACTGACATCGGAATTTTGATATTGGCCCGCAGTAAACAACTTCTTTCCAAGAAAGTAAGAACAGGCAGATACAGAAATATATTCGTACATACTGCAGTGAGGTTGCTGAACGCATAGTGCTATAAAAAAAGCAGAGAGAGAGAGAGAGAGAGAGAGAGAGAGAGAGAGA